GCCGTCACTCCGGCCAACTCAGATATTTCCACCTCGGATGCCCTCAAACTTGCAAAGGAGGCAGATCCTTCAGGTAGCAGCTACAATAGTTGCCCTGCATGGATACTAACCCAAGTGGCAATGTCAAGTTACGATTCGCAATTAAACATTCACTGTGTAATGTTCCCTGTCCTGACAACAAGAGCAGCTTGACTTTCCTCACTGTGTGTTCAAACTAAAACTGACCTACTAACTTGTTATATACTGGAATATTTTAACTTTTCTAAAAAAAAAATCTTTTGATGACATTTTGGATTGTTTTTGTAGTGCATTTTATACAATTTTGAACTCATTAAGTAAAATGATGTGAATTGCTGTGACTTAACACCGTTGTTGACGTTAACCTGCATGTGTCTCTAGCACTGGCAGCTCCTGGATGTCATGAGGACTTGCTCACACACTGATGTTCCAGGGTCCAGAACCATTGGAGTGCTGACCAAGATGGACCTGATGGATGAGGGCACAAACGCCAGGGAAATCCTGGAAAACAAGGTCCTGCCTCTCAGGAGAGGTAAGCACACTCCCTTGAACTTCTTCCAACTGACTAATGAAATACTTGCTGAGAAACCACCCCGATTAACTAAGACAATTTGAAAACACAAGGTAATAAGACCAAATCCAAATAAATAAATAGTGTGTGACGTTTCGGTAACAGCGTTGTTACCGAAACGTCACACACTATTTATTTATTTGGATTTGGTCTTATTACTTTGTGTTTATAATCTATAATCCAAATTGTGCTTTATCAAGCCAATTTGAAATTATCCTTCTTAATCTCTCAACATATATTTTCATTGAAGAAGAAACTTCCATTAAGGCGGGGTTACTTGAGATAATTAATTGAGATCAAGTTTTTTTTTTTGCCAGCAAGTAATCCCAGTTAATGAGAGTTTTATAATGCCACATGTGCCCTTTTATGATGACATAGTCTGTGCTTGTTAACCTGGCTTATACCCCATGCTTTCTACATTTAGAGCTAATTCTACTATTAAACGATTAGCACAACTCTTAATAACTGGTTTATACGAATAAACCATTATTCGTATAATTCTACTATCTAATACTAAATTATAATACTAATTCTACTGTCCTCATAGCTTATGTTCATAGTTTGTTCAAATATCATACCTAAGATTCCTTCTATAGTATCGGATATATTAGCAGAATGTGGCTCAATATAGTATTAAAGCTCTAAAAAGCAGTATGGTTGATTAGCTGGTGAAACTGCTGGGAAGGTTTATCACTGATGAGCCAGGTCTTCTCATATATATATTTTTAATCACAGTAAAGATGGTAGGAGGTTTATTTTATTTGAAAAAGAAAAAATCTGTGATTAATAGTTTAATTTATATTATGTCTAGATGAGAGAGTGTGTTATGGCTTTATGTTTAATATAGAGCTCTGCCTGTAACTGCCTTTCTTAGAGAAATCTAGCCAGCTTCATCCTGCCAGTTTATCTGTGTGCCCTCAGTGTAAGTGTGTGGCAGGCTACATCGGGGTGGTCAACCGCAGCCAGAAGGACATTGACGGCAAGAAGGACATCCAAGCTGCCAGGGACTCTGAGAGGAGGTTCTTTCTGAGCCATCCTGCTTACAGGTAAGCTCCTCTTGTGGATCTTTGATATTGGTTTGTTGTGTGGGATAATCTTCATTTTAAAGTCTTGTTCTTATATCACTATATGGCTTTAAACAAAATGTTAATGCTTTTTCCTTAGCTTTTGCCAATGGGGAGTGAGGGGGAATAAACGGTGGCATCAGTTTTTTAAATAGGAGGTGTTTCAGTCATCAGAACCCAATACACTCCCAACCCAACTATATCCTCCTCACCAGTGAGCACCTTCTACATGTGGTGTACTTGCAGTATAAGTACTCTCACATCAAAGAGTAAAGGGAGAGACAACACCAAGGAAGGTTTGGTTCAATAACTTAATAGAATGACCCCAACTTAGAAGAGGTGAAGAGAACATGTTGAAATATGGTATAAATCATTGCAGGATGAAAGGCTTCAATTCAAATTTATGATTGCTAAGAGATCTATAAAATTCAAGAGCAATTTACAAAAAGCCCTTTGTAATTTTGCTCCTTGTGTTTGATGCTGTATGTGTCAGCCCTACTAAATAGACTTGGATTCCAAAATGAGATTTTGTTCTTTTTTTTTTCCAGCTGCATGAATGGTCTAGATTGACCTTATATACCCGGAAGCCTTTGTCATTTTTATTGTTAGAAGATACCTCTCTTGGCTGATATATGTAGGAAGTTGTCTAGGTGAAATCTCTCGAGGTAGTGTATGTCAACTAGAGGGCTGGTGGCAGGTCTATGGCAGACAAGCTGGGCACTCTCTACCTCCAGCAAGTACTAAACCAACAGTTGACCAACCACATACGTGACACGCTGCCCTTCCTGCGTGACAAGCTCCAGAAACAGCTCCTGGCCATGGAGAAGGAGGTGGAGAACTACAAGCACCTCCGTCCCAATGACCCCTCCATCCAGACTAAAATCATGCTCCAGTGAGTGCACTCTGTTTCACCTCTTTCTCTCTTGTGTTAAGTATTTGGCTCCAGTAGAGTTGGAAGTTTGTCTCGGAGAGAAGGGCAATCTTAAATGACAGTTCTCTGTTCAAAATAGAAGCAAAAACTATATATGCCCCTTAATTATTCACATTCTCTTCAATCAGAAAGACTTGGCTCCAGCAAAAATACCACAGCTTTGGTACAAATTTATATAAAAATATATATAATTATAAAATAAATTTGAAACTATTTATTACAATATTTTTTTCTTTTTCAAATAAACAACCTTCTACTGTCCTAGCTTCAATGGAAAAACTATTGGGAAAGCCTGGTTTATCAGTAGTGAAACCTCCCACTGTTTTTCCTGTTTAATCTACCTGATTTCTCTAATCTGGCACTTTTAGAGATATTCTTGGTGAAAGTGTTTATGGACATAGAGGCTTATTTGTGAATTGTTTGTGGGGGCAATGCTTGATGCAAGTATTCATACTTCTACTGTTATCCTAGTGGGTGGGCGGGTGTCATCATTGAATTTTTTGTTTTCTCATAGTTCTATTACTCAAGCATAGGTGTAGAGGTTTGCTGCTGTTACTTATTCCCACATCCAATGGGATACCAGACCAACTTGATAAGTTGCTAGAGGGTCTCAGAAACTTGAAAATCCCTCCTAGATTTTCCCAACAATCCTGTTTTGTGGCTTGGATGCAGGCAGCTGCTGGGATCTGACTTTATCATTTTTTGCATGTGACAGCATGATGTTAGCAATGTCTTGCTGTTGACTTGTGATGTTTAATGTGATTGTTGGCCTGTTTCCATGCAGCTGCAGGAAGGATTCAGTAAGTTGGCCTGTTGCTTGCCCTGTGCCACATACATTAGATGCACCAACTGAACTTGAGCTGTGGATTCCAGGATGATCCAGAAGTTCCAGTTGGAATTTGAGAGATCCATCGAGGGCACAGGAACTTCAGCCATCAACACCCGAGAACTGTCAGGTGGAGCCAGGATAAACCGCATCTTCCACGAACGGTTCCCATTTGAAATTGTCAAGGTGATTTTTGGATGTTAGCAAGGATTGTAATGGAACTACACTCCCTTAGAAATAATAGTAGTACAGTATAACCTACATGAGAGGACACTCACGTTAGAGGACACCTCTCTATGATGGACAGTTTTTATTTGGAAATTTTTTTTTACTATTTAGTAACTCTCTGGTAAGAGGACACCTCTCCCTAAAGGACATTTTGGGCTCTGCAATTAGGTGTCCTTTACAGGGAGGTTCTACTGTATCTGGAAACACTTAGTTCAGTTCACACAAGCCCCAAATAATTAGTCTCTTTGTAAGTTTTTTTCCCAGCCTGGATGATAGCACAGGTTCAGACAGCGTTCCATCTCAAAACACATTATTAATGCATTTATCTCTAAAATGGCATCAAAACTAAATGTGTTATGGTATTTGGAGAAGCTTGAGATTATCTCTTTACCTAATTATGCATGTTCATTTGAATTTTTTTAGTGTTTTAACAAATGTCTATTTTTCAAACAATCTTTGAAATGAATTGGACCATAATGTCTCATGCTAACTTTGAAAAGTACCCACTAACCGTGAGCCACAATAAGATGGAAAAATAGGACTGTGGTTTTGGCTGCATTCACCAAATTCTCACATAAGACAAGTATTACTGTGTTGTGTTTAAAATCTTTAGTAAAATTGTTTAAAGGATTTTTTTAAAATGTATAAATTTCCATGTGATCATCTTTTCTACAGTAATTTGCATAATTATTGCATACTATATGATATATGTTTATGTCCTGGCAGATTGAGTTTGATGAGAGGGAGCTGAGAAAGGAGATTGCCTTTGCCATCCAGAACATCAATGCCATCAGGTGAGTGTTTCAGCAGCCACCTGCAGGTCTGGCTGTGACATTACCTGCTGCTGCTGCAGAACCGGGCTCTTCACCCCTGACACAGCCCTTCGACGCCATTGTCCGCAAGCAGATCTCCATGCTTAGGGAGCCTGCCCTCAAATCTGTGGACATGGTGGTCACTGAGCTAGGAAATGTCATCCGCAAGTGTGCAGAGCAGGTACCATCACATTCCATATGGACAGCATTGCAAGCAGTTCCTTTACATTGTTGTTGCTTTCAACATATTTCATTCTGTTGCTTCAGTGCCATGCAAAGTTTTAGAATACTTTGCAAACCTTTACAATGCTATCAGCTTTTTTTTTTGCTTATCCCTAGTACACGTGGTACAGGCCATGATAATCATGGTGGGTAGTTAGCGACTGCTTTTACTGTAAGCGCACCACATGTCTACATGTGAAAAGCAGTTCGACTTTGCACTTACAAATGCCAGCGCCCCGTTTGGTTACTTGCACTCGCTGGTGGGGTTGGACTTTTGCAAGAATCGGGGGCCATTGGAGCATTTTTTTTTTTTTTAAACAGAAAAAAGTGTCCAATGCGGGAATCGAACCCGGGTCCTAGTAGTCGAAAACCAAACGGTTTAACTAGCCTTCCACCGACCCCCCATGCTATCAGCCAGTGTTGGGCATTAAAAAATTATTTTTCAATTAAATTGAAGTGCAATTAACAATAAATTAATTGTTAATTAGAAAAGTGCAATTAACAATTAATTAATTGTTAATTGTATGAATACAATTAACAATTAATTAATTGTTAATTGTAAAAATACAATTAACAATTGATTAATTGTTAATTGTGAAAATTACAATTAACAATTAATCAATTGTTAATCTTTAATAAATCATTTTTAATTAATATTTGCCCAACACTGCCTGAGATAAAAAAGTGTTTTTATTAAATACAACACACGTTTACCATCGTCAGCAGCAGTTGAACGCCTTTTTTCTTTTGCGACAATGACAAATCTGCCAAAGAGTCACAAATTGTCGGACTGCATGTTCGAGAAGAGAGTGGTACTGAAATGCAGTGTTGGGCATTAAAAAATTATTTTTCAATTAAATTGAAGTGCATTAACAATTAATTAATTGTTAATTAGAAAAGTGCAATTAACAATTAATTAATTGTTAATTGTATGAATACAATTAACAATTAATTAATTGTTAATTGTAAAAATACAATTAACAATTGATTAATTGTTAATTGGGAAAATTACAATTAACAATTAATCAATTGTTAATCTTTAATAAATCATTTTAATTAATATTTGCCCAACACTGCTATCAGCTTACTTCGCTCTGATGTAAAATCTTCTGATTGCTTGTGAGGTCTAATTTTATCCTAGTGCTCATCACATAGCACTCATTTTTGAAAGGGTGGCTAATATTCTTATTTTCTGTAACCAAAGCCTGAGTTTGAAGCCTTACACTTTGAACCTATTTTAAAAAAAAATTAAGGCTTGCTTCAATATTCTTCTATTCTTGACTGACTCTACCAATGAATGTGTGCTGCATGCATCCAAACTTATATGTTTCTCCAAGGCTGAAGTCCAGGTGGTCCGTGCAGGTCCAGCTCTACCCCAGACTCCCAGGATGAGATAGAGAGCATTGTGATGAGACAAATCCGAGTCCAGGAGAACGCCACCAAGGACCAGATCAACATGTATGTGGATGTGGAGCTGTCCTACATGAACACCAACCACGAGGACTTTGTAGGATTCTCTAGGTGAGCAACTCTCCTCCTTCCACCCATTATTTGATAATTCCTCTGTTAATACCATTTGTTCTCTCTCCTGTTTGCCTAATTATCTGCCAGGAGGATCGCCCATAGAGGCAGGACATAAGGCAATTTTCCAGGGTTCTAATGGGATGACAATCAACCCAACGTAAATCTTCAATAGTGAATAGTTTCGACAGGGTTGGTATATTTTGTTTATATCTCCTTGTTATTATCCAACTTGGCATTCCAATTATAATCTTACCAAGGCATCATTAGTCCAGCAAAAGTGGTAATATAGTCAACTGTAGTGAACTGACTACATGGGAAAGTCAGATTTAGCCCCCTATTTTCATTAGACCTAATTGATGTAAGTTTTTTTTTATACAGATCAACTTGTGTGAGATTAAATTGTATTTAAATAGCCATTCATTAAATGGGGATACTAATCTACTTCTAATTTGTTAATTGAGACTGATCTACACTTTGAGTTCCAGTTAGATTGTAGAATACCTATGTAAAATGTACCATCAGAGTGGCAACAGCATGTTGATGTGAGATATCTGCCCATGCAGTTGAATGTTTCCAGGGCTTTGACAACCACAGCCTTGAATGTGACTGAGGAAGGGTGAGTGGGAATGACCTAGTTGATCTCCCTTCTTTCTCTAATACATTCCCGAGTGACAACTAACCCTTTCTCACCATCACTTCTTTGAACGGAAGCTATTGATGAATGGAAATCTTCTTGTTTACTTCCTACTCATCCCATATTCCAGTCCCATTCAGGGATTATAATGTTGGGAAATATCGTCCCATGAAAATCTCTTTATGTACTTCATTCTCTCTTTCTCTATCTCTTACATTATGATATTTCAGTAAAAAAATGCCTTGTTTCAATATTGAGTAAAAATATCAGGCCTTTAGCTTTCGGGCATGAACGCCTTTCCACAGAAGAAAACATGGTATTATAACAACAACAACAAAAGCTTTATTAAGACCCTTTAGTCTTATACAGATTCTCCAAGCAGAAATATAGGATACATGCAGGGAAAACAATGAAAAAACTTAATGGTAACATAAAATTTATATACAGAGAAAGTGATATAAAGACAATCAAGCTAATAGATTAATCTGGGCAAATTGGAGGCAAAGAAAGTTACTATACATGGATTTACCACGTCGTGTTAGGTCTTGTGAAGTTATTTGGTAGCAGCTCTGAAACTTATTAAAAACATGGTATTATACCATGAGGCATTTGGGCCCGAAAGCTAGAGATTAAAAGGTTTTTGAAAAGATACCTTTCCCTGGAGACCTGATGTTTAGACTCATCATTATGATATACAAAATGAGGAAAGGCAGTCGTGGCCATTGAGGTGTTACAGCAAATAGGGAGAAAATAAAGCAGACTCCATAGACAGATGTTAAAGCTGACAAAGGAATGAAGAAACGTGGAAAACCAGCACTAGTTCAGACAACAGACCTATAAAAACTGCTTCTTCCCCCTAGATGGCAGGTTTTATAAGGGTGTCCCCTAGTTAGTGATATAATTCATCTTTTCCAATTAGACGTAAATTTTGAAACTGGAAGATTCCATTGCGAACTGGTGATCCCCTGCATCCCCACATTTCCTTTGTCAGCCATTTCTGTTATATTCTTTTTAATTTGCACATGGTTCATTTGGTTATATGAAAGTTTATACAGTTTTATATTTGGGAATCAACATTTAAAATTCATGTATAGTGGCTTAGCATTGTTTTTAATATTTATTTTATAAAATACTTTATGTGGGTTCTCTTGAAGATAGAGGTTGCTTGGCCGGCGTTCTTATTTCTGGGAAAAATACACTTCGGCCAGTTAGAGTTTTTTTTTTATTTTCTCAACGTTTGAAAAAAAATCTTTTGTCTTCGTCAGGAGAAATAAATAAAAATAAAGCATTTGGCAAGGCGTTAAAAATTGTGGGTTATTAGAAAAAATGATTTATGATTAGCATTTTGCATGAGACCTTAAAAAGAGGCCTATTATAAAATGTGATCACATAGGATTATCTCATATTCAAGTGGGAATAAAATTTAAAAACACAATATATTCAATATTTGTAGATAAATGAGTTATATTATGGTTGTACATGTTGGTCTTTGACCTAGTAGAGGTATATATTGAAGAAGAAAAGTTATATTTTAACTGTAGTGTTATGCAAATGATATTGGGTTTTACTATTGTTGCATATGCTTTCATATAAATGTACATTGCACATGTTTGTTAGGGTTATGCGATGAACTATTTATTATATTGTACATGGAAAAGAATGAAATCCACAGAGTTTATCTATTTATTCTCATGAAGTTTACCTTATATCAGCTATATTTATTTCAGAAAAAATGTTCAGGATAAATTTAAAAAGAAAAAAAGAATACCATATATATTCTTTTTTTTCCCCCTCTTTGCGCGTATTAAAAAAAATTATCCTTAACATTTTTTTTCCCTCCAAAATCCAAAGTTTCTATACCATTTATCAGGAAACAATGGAAGGAAAAGTAAGGGGTTGAGTGCCTAGATAGAACTAAATAAAAAAGGCTTCTGTCATAAAATGTGGTAATGGAAGTTTATACAAATGTTAGCATGTTTGGGTAACATTCTACATTACCTTCTTTAATACAATGTCAGCTAGGTGATCCTACAATAGCTACTGACCTCTATGAAGTGGGTCCTTGTCAGAAAGTGTCAACTCCTGATTCACCAGGTTGAAGGGTTGTCTCTATATAAAAGGAGCCACTTAAAAGATTTTATAGTACACTCTTTTTTTTTTTTTGATAGTTTGTTGATTGAAGTTAATATACTGTGGGAGTTGACTGTAAAAAAACAAAAGGTAATGTTTTGGTGAGATTTTAAAACTTTGGCTCAAATAGTGCTACTGGAGGAAGGTTTCAATAGTGAATACAAGGAGTAAATTTTTTTTTTTTGCTTATCCCTAGTACATGTGGTACAGGCCATGATAATCATGGTGAGTAGAAGAAGACGACTGTTTTTACTGTAAGTGCACCACATGTCTACACATGTGAAAAGCAGTTCGACTTTGCCCCGTTTGGTTACTTGCACTTGCTGTTGGGGTTGGACTTTTGCAAGAATTGGGGGCCATAGGAAAATTTTTTTTTTAATCAGAAAAAAGTGCCCAATGCGGGAATTGAACCCGAGTCGTAGCAGTCGAAAACCAACATATAAACAGTTTAGACCATCCTTCCACCGACCCGCCGGAGTAAATTTTTGTGGCCACAAGTCACGTTGTAGGGCTAGCTGCTTGGGAAAAGCTGTTTCAGTATAAAAAAAAAATTGTGGTGTGATATAAAAAATTGTCCTCTCTAGACAAGTGTTGACACTGCGCTTGTTCCTCAGCTGACCGGTGTCTGTGTGGTATTCCAGGGATGAGTTTGGAGTCCAGCAGTAAGTGAGAGATGTGTGTGTGCAGTGTGCATGGAGTCCCAGCATGCTAATATGGATTGTTGTTGTTGTAGAATTAATATGTTGTTGTTTAACTCCCTCTTCTAACCCACTTATGTATGTTTGGAATTCCCATTTGAGAGTTCTTACTACAAAGTTATGTTACCTCTTAACTTTTGTTTACAGCCATACCTTTGTGTGTTTTTTTCCTAAATGTTACTTTAGTGTGAAGATTTTAAAATGACACATAGGTTATCTAAAACCTCATATAGTTCAAACCATTTAGTTTAACACTTCAGACACTGAGAGATGTGGAGTATCTAGGTAACAAACCCCATGTGATGTGACAGCACCAGCTCCCAAACCTCCCTCACAGAGAGCTCTGCCAAGAGGAAAGTCAAGTACCAGGTATGTTGGTCCGCTGTCTGGCTAGGAGATGTGGACCTCAGTGATGTGTAGGTGATCCGGAAAGGCTGGAT